AGGGTGATACATAGACCTTCCTCAAAGCCAGGTAAGGAGTGAAACACATGCACTCTCACACTTGGAGTAAAGCCATCACACTCCAATCACTCCACGGTGTGCCTTTCCAAGATCTTCTCTTAGGCCACTGCAGACAACATCATCTGACCAGGTTCTGAGAGGCAACTGCATCAGTCATTACATTTCTTAAAACTGAACAAAAAAACAAAACTGAGCCAAAATTATAACAGGTAGGCTTGAAGGTAGATACCAGGAAGGGCTTCCAAAGAAAAGTTTGAGATTCCAAGAGGAGAAGCTGGGCATTTGTGTGAGGCTGGGCTTCTTCCCTATTAACTGCAATAGGAGAGTGATTTCTGCAGCCTAGACTAGGAGTTAGCACCATCAAGGTAGATGGAAGGACAGAATGACCTGCTGAGGAATGTCCTCTACACACTCCCAACCAGCAGACAGGAAATTGCTGGCCTGAAATGATAAGGGTCAAGCTGCTTCAATTAACGAAAATGGAAATGGCAACCCGGCTTGGCACAGGCCACCATGCAGGACTGTTCTGGGCTCTCAGCCACCCCCTCTGCAAGCTGGGCCTAGAGACTGACATCAGACTGAGATCCTTGAGCCAGATGTAGGGGCAGACAAATGGGCAAGAAGATATGCAAGAAAATCTTACTGCAGTTGTTTCATTTGTTTTGTTTTTAGACAGAATGAGGGTCAAAACAGGGAAGGAGAGAAAAAGGGAAAGTTTCCCCAAATACATTATAATTCAACTTTGATTGGTAAGCTTGGGCTGGGGCCAGGGTGGCATTAAGGCCTCCATAGAAGAAAGCAATTCAGCTTCCCCCAAAGCAATTTATTTCTGCATCACCTGATGGTCATAGCTGGGAAGTTTATCCATGTGTCTAATCTCAATGTCTCATGCTCCAATGGAAATTATTTCCTTCTTTGGGGCATTAGGAAAAAATAGAAAACAGCTGGCCTTCATTCTCCTAAACAAGAACATTTGAAGAGTCAAGACTTAGTCTGGGCTGGGCCACAATCACTATTCCCTCCCTCCATTCCACTTATCTTCCCTGCCCAGCTTATGCCCAGGCTGGGTTTCTGGTCTTCTTTGCTCCAGCACTTGGACACCCCCGCCCCACATAACCTGCTGCAGCTTTCCATCCCAGAGGTTCACAGAACAACAGATCAAAGAAAAAAAGCCCTACTTCCCATCCCTCATAGAGCCACGCCCAACCCTTGCTTCCTGCAAGTTTCTGCCCCCCAGCCCCTCCCTTCATCCTGTTTTCTATCCCATGGCAGTTGGGGAGATCTGACACAGTGGCCCCTTTTTCCAACAGCTACTCCTCGGAGGTAGCAAGATTGAGCAAGTGATGAGAGAACTCTCTCATAGGCACTCACACCTCCTACCTACACTCTGATGGTTAATCACTTCCTCAGTGAGTGTATCCAGAGCACTATTTAGAACTTGTTCACAACTCATTTTCCATTTGATTTATACCATAATTATATGCCTGTATCTCCCAGCATCAGACAGTGAGCAACGTGAGGGCAAAAAACCACCTAATTCACCTCTGTCACTCCCTATAGTGCCTGGCGTGGGAAATGGCACACACAGCGGACATCGATAAATGTTAAATTGAGAAAGAAAAGTGAAGGATCACACAGTAGTCAAACTCAAGACTCAATCTTCCTTTGTCACCCTGTTTCAGTAATGTAAAAAAAGAGTAGGGAGTCTCCTTTTGCCCCAACACATTCCATGCCTCAGAATCTCAGAAACACTCTCACCCCAAGCACAGCTTGGCCTCTATCAAGTGTATGTGTGTGTGCATGTGTGTGTTGGAGTGGGACTTTTAAGCCTCTACCACTTCTCTGAACCAGAATTTGAATCCCCATCACCGGGCAAAAGCAACAGACTCTGAGAACACTCATGTTATCGTATGGCACCATGGGGTAGATCTCCAAAACCAGATTCATGCATTACTTGACCATTTGTCCTGAACACCTACTTTGTGCCAGGTGTGGGGTTACATACTGGAGAAAGGAAAATAAGAAACCCACTCCTTGCCTTCAAGGCACCAGTGCAATCCTGCCTTAATCGTGGCTGTATATCCATAGCACAAAGAGAAAAATAGATACAAGGCTACACTTCATACCTCCCAAATCAAAATCTCTTAAGTGGAGCAGGAACATGTCTTTTTTAAACCGCCACAGGTGAAATGATTCACAGGCAGGGTTGTAAGCCACTGATCTCTAGATCAGTGCTGTCCAAAAGAACTTTCTGCAATGATGGAATGTTCCCTATCTGTGCCATCCAATCAGTAGCCACTAGTCACGTGTGGCTATTGAGCACTTGAAATATGGCTAGTGACTAAGGAATTAAGCTTTTTATTTTACTTATTTTAATTTAAACAGCCACACGTGACTAGTGCCTACTATATCAGACTGCAAAACTCTAGATGATACAAATCACTTCAATTTGGCTTTAAAATACTTTTCACAATATTGTTTTGTAGCAACCGAAGTCTTCATTCCCTTTGGCTCACGAGAAAACAATGAACTTCCCTTCCCTAAGGACACTCTTATTTGTACTGAAGAAACTGCTCTAGAATGAATGGGGGGTAGAGATCAGTCTGGTGGATTAAGTCAACTAGCTAAGCCACCATACGAGCCTCTACTCCCCAGACTGGAGAAAAGGCACTCCTGATTACCCTCGTTTGTTAGAGGTTATACTGGTGAGGGACAGAAAAAACAGTGACATGACTTTAGGTGCCTATCATGAACTGAATTATGTCCCCCCTAAAAAAATTGTATGTTGAAGCCCTAACCCCCAACATGACTGTATTTGGAGATAACGCCTTTAAAGAGGTAAGTAAGGTTAAGTGAGGTCATAAGGGTGGGGCTCTAATCCCATATGACCAGTGTCCTTATGAGATACCAGGTAGGTGCGCACATAGAGCTAATAGGCCATGGGAGGACAGAGAAAGAAGGCGGGCATCTATAAACCAAGGAGAGAAGCCTCAGAAGAAACCAAACCTGCTGACATCTGCATCTTGGGTTTCCAGCCTCCAGAACTGAGAAAATAAATTTCTGTTGTTTAAGCCATCACCTGTGGTATTTTTATTAATTCAGTGCCCTTGGGAAAAGGCAGGCCTGGGACCCTAATCAGCCTCTCCCTAACAAGATACACCCCCAAAACTGAGGGCAATAGCCCCATTAAATGCCAGATCCAGCAGTGACTCTGCCACACCTGTCTTCAAGTCACCATCCTGGTCACTGCTGTTCAAGTGCCTCTATGCACTGTGCAAAACTACCCCCACTATCTCATGATCCTCACCCCAATTCTAGGCTTTCATCCAGATTCTGCTATCCCCCTAGGATGTGTCCCCTAAACATTAACCCTATTCCTGACCCATTGCACCTACACCACGCCTCCTATGTGGCTTGCCCCCTCATCCCCATCTATGGGTTTCCACCTATTATTGGGCGTTTTAAGTGTGTGTTCTATGCATCTCACTTCCCCCATCTTTAAATACTGAAAGAGTAGTCTAGCATGTTCAAGACCCTTCACAAGCTGGCCCCAACTTCCCTCTCCAGCTTTTCTTCTCAACTAGGCCAAGTCAATGTTCATCTACTTGCCACCCCTTGAACGTAACAATGCTTTTCTCTAAACTCTCCAAAACTGTCCCACTCTCTAAGCCCACCTGAAATGCCACCTCCTCCAAAGAGCTTTCCCTGACTGCCTCAGCTAAATACATAAAGGAACAATGTGCAGTTAATCCACACTGGCTAATCCAGTGTTCTGCAACACAGAGTACTGACTAGTTAGCACTGTAGCACTGACAGCAGAGAGGAGAAAAGTCTGCAATGCAATTCTAATGCTAATTACCTGGAGTTAGCTCATACCCCACAGGTTTAAGGGCAAAGTCTTCAAAAAGAATGCCCTCATTTCAGTTGCCAACTGCAAGTTCAGGGGACCCCAGGCCACCTATACTTCTAACTGGTTACAAATTCAGGAGTCCTCATGACCTCTCAGGTTCACTAATTTGCTAGAAAAACTCACTAAAATCAGTAAAGCTCTCCACTTACAATTACAGTTTTATCATAAAGGGTACCAATCAAGACCAGCCAAAAGAAGAGACATAAGGCAAGACCTGGGAGAGTCTGAAACACAGCTTCTGTGTCCTTTCCTCGCAGAAGTACACATCACCCTGCTGACACATCATGTGTTCACCAACCAGGAAGCTCACCAAAGCCTGTGTCCAGAGTTATTAGAATTTCATTACATAGGTATAATTGTCCACATGGTTGAACTCAATCTCCAGCCCCCATCCCCTCCCTGGAGGTCAAGCTGGTTATCACCTGGTTCAAAGCCTCAACCCTCTAATCACATGATTGATCTTTGAGGCACGGTCAGCCCTCACCCTCAGTTAAACTTCAGCATAAACTCAGGTGTGGTCTAAGGGATCCATCGTGAATAACAAAAATTCCTATCACTTGGAAAATTCCAAGGATTTAGAGGCTCCCTCCAAAGAACCAAGGACAAACACCAGTCAAATTCTGTATTATACAATGGAGAAGGGTGGGGGGGGAACTGGACTTATACTAAAAATCTTATTAATTTTGAAAGCTGGAGATGACCTGTTCCAGGAGATAGAGTCCAACCGTGTATTCTTCATTGAGGTGGTCTCAAGACCTGCTCTGCTCTCAAATTGATTCACTTTCCTGACCCTTCCAAAGGGGCACACCAACCCACCATGCAGCAGACATAAGAAATGAGCTGGCTGGAGAGACAAGGCACCCATCATCTGCTCCCCACAGCACCTCCAGTAGCAGACACTTGACAGCTCCTAACAAAGACCTTGCAGATTTGGTAAGGCAACTGGAGATCTGTTTACACCATCCCCTAGCTACTGAAGAGAACACTCTGCAGTGAAGAGGTAAGAGGGGAAAAACTACACAACTACCTCCTAGCTCTGACGTGCAGGAGGGAAAAATGGACCAACACAAAAAGATATAGGAGCTTTTAATGCTTAGACTGAAAAATGATAGGTTGGGCTTTTCATAATGTCATTGATCCATCTCTGGCAGGGCAAGAGTCTGCCCCTCACCCAGGCCTCAGGTGGAGACCCCCACTACCTCCACCCCCACTACCACCCCACTGCTCAGCAAGGTCTTCAAATGGAGGGTCTTCCCTTGTAGTGCAGTGACTCCCCACCCCAGAGGCAAGAAAGAAGAGGTGTAACAAGCACTCATGTGCCAGGCAACACACAAGGCACTTTCAAGTGTTACGTCAATTAATCCTCACACTAAACCCATGAGGTAGGGATCCCCATTTTACAGATGAGGATTCTGAGGCTTGGAGAAGTTAATGAACTTGTCCAAAGTCATAAAGTTCACAAGTGTCAAAGCTGGAATGAAACTCGAGGTCTTCTAATCTTTCCCACTCTGCCACACTGAATTCTTTCTCCAATCCAGCCTGTCTTCCATAAGTTCATTCTTAACATCCATGTCCCATGCTTTGTCCTGGTCTGTGCGACGAAAAGGGTCCGCTGAAGGGCACTGTTCTATCAGAATGTGTGGGTATCCTGGCAGGATCTTTTCTCTAAAACAGAAGTCACTCTCAGTTGAATACAGGCTCCCAAGGAAACAGTGAAGTAAGCAGTTTGCAGGTGCTGACTCTGTGGAATGAGGTACCCTGGGACCAAAGAGGCAATGCTCAAAGGATGGGGAAGAAAGCAGGAATCAGGAGGGCAAGTAGTAGTGTCAAAACTGCCACGGCAGGTTCTAGCAACCAAGGAGGACCTTGTTGCTCCAGTCCAGGAGGCATATAGTCATCTCATTGCCCAAGAACGATTTGCCGGCCTTGAAAGTGTCCTACCCCCAAGGGGGCTCATTTTGTTAACAGCGGCAGCAGTCCCAGCTCATTCAGTCTGTCCTTGGCCAGTGCCTCCCAACCCCTGTTGGCCTGTGGGCTCCGAGGTGAGGGGTGCAGGAGCCCTTCCACCTGGACCTCGGGCATCAGGCCTACCAGAGCCCGCCGCGCCCGCTGCTCCGCCAGCCGCCCCACTCCCACCACCAGCCGCACCCCCAGCATCTGCACCTGCCGGCAGAGAGCCGCATCACAGAGCCCAAGAAGCTGTTCTCGCTGTTTGGCAGGCAGCTCAGCAGGGGTGAGATTGCGCCCACTGGGAGCCAAGAAGAGCAGAGGACACAGATTATGTACAAAACAGTGATGGAAGAAGACATCGGGCTGTCCACAGAGATTCCGGAAAAAGCCCCAGAACCGGGCGCCGCTCACCTCTGACTGTGGGCACTCCAGTCCCAGCACTGGTCGCTTAGGGTGCTCTTGGGGAGGGGTCCGCACTGGGCCACAAATGCCCAACCAGTCTCGGACTACACTCACTTCCCCAAAGGGCACCTGTGGGGAAGGAGAGAGACAAGAGGGCTTCAAACTGGAGACTTGACACCCGGGCTCTGGACCAACTGACCCCTTTCCACCCTCCATGAGGATCTAGTGTGGACAGCCCCCACCCTCCCCCCACCCCACACTCTGCCACCTTCACCCAAAGGCCTGAGACAGATTCCTGAACCTGTGGTTTGATCTTGTCTTCCTCAAATTTTTCATTGTGGACTGCGGTCTATAAGAATCTATTTCTTTGCCTCTACCCGCACTACCGTCTGGGACCACATACAGGGAGTGCATGGGGATATCTGGCCCTACACTGGGCATGATGGGTAGTATTGAGGACAGACTGATGGTCTGAGAAAGACTGCCAGGGTTAGAGAAGGTACAAGGACAGGGCTGACCAGTGCTCTCTGGGTGCCCTCTCAGCCTCAAGCCTCAGGCTGTCATTTCCATCGATCATCATTGATCACCTTTCATCCCACAGTTGGGGTCAATAAAAGCAATTGAGCCTCCTGCCCTGAAGCCCCTACCCTCCCCCACCTGCCAAACACCCCCACCAAGGGGCAGTCACTCATTCTGAAGTCTGAAAGGAAATCAAGCAGGTCCTGGACCCTGGCTCTGTTCTGAACCTCTCTTCAGCTAAGAAACAGGACTCAGGTTGCCTGAATGCACTGCGTTTCTTCCATACCCAACCCTGTCAACCAGTCTCTCCTGAGGTCTCAGCAGTCCTGGTTCTTCTCCTAATCCCAACCACACTCTAGGGAGAGGGGAGATCCGGTAAGGTAAAGATGGGGCTGGCGGAAGGAAGGGCTCTCAGAGGCAATTAGTGGACAGCTCACAGGGGAAACGGAACTACCATTAATGTGCTTGGTTAACTATGGGCAATGAGGCCGGGAGAGTGTCTGAGACCACAGGAGCCAGTGTGTATATTGGGAGGGGAAGGGGGCCCCCACACCCACACATGTCCACAGTTGTGCACATGCTCCTCCTCCATAGCACATGCAGCCAAGCATCTACCTTGGAGCTTCCCACTCCACCCACCAAGGAAAGTCAAGCCGCTTACCCCAGTCTGGGCCATGCCAAAGGGTCCCGGGTTCATGCCCAGGAAGAGCACTTCCTTGGGGCCCTGGCAGTAGCGGGTCACGTAGCTGCGATGTGGCTCCCATGCATATTCCACAGGATTGTAAATAATGCCCACGGGCTCCGAAAACTGCAGTTGGTTCAGCTCAGCATTGAGCCGAAGCTCCTCCTCCAGAAAGCCCTCAGCCAAACTCTGAGGGCAGGGCTGGGGCTCCATCAGGACACTTGCCGGCTCCCAGGACACTTGAGGCCCCAATGGGTAAGCATGGGGCACAGCCACGTAACCGTTCCCTAGAAAAGAGATGAACAGAGGTCCCCTCAGCCGTAGAGTGGGAGGGATCCAGGCTGGCCAGAGCCCCTAATACCATGTCCTGGGCTCAGAAGAGACTGGTTAGTCATCTCATATCCTCCAGGCATAACTGAGCTCATTGTAGTTCTTGGTAATGAAAAGACCCCTTCTCACTCCCTTCAAGTATCTTCCTCTTCATTCATTACCTGGTGAGAATAACCCATAACCACCAACCATCCCGCACTCCAAACCTCTTTTCCATCAGGCACAGGTCTTGAGTCGCTAGTTCCTAGGCTGTGCCAAGTATATGACAGGTTTCCAATAGTATTTACTGGAGGCAAACTTTCAGCACTTTTAATGTCACCTTTAATAAAACAAGCCCAGCTAGGATGGGCTGTGTCCTGGAAACTAATGTGCTGAAGAATGAGATGCAGGTATAAAGCCATAGCCCAGAGACTACAGGGCCAATTACAATAGCTTCCAGGTGGTGAGCAAGTGTTATGTGCCAGATACACCTCACTGATCCTCATAACAACCCCAAGAGGTGGGAATTATTGCCTCCATGCTACAGGTAAGAATACTGAAGCTTAGCAAGATCAACTTACCCAGGGTCACACAGTTAGCAAGACATGAAGCTGGGATTTGAACCCAAACTATGTGATACAAGGCTGTGCTCTTAACCACCCACATGTTTGATCAGCCACCCTGCTAATTCTACACTCCCTGCCCCAGCCCAGCTTCTTGACCACATTCAAGAATCCTTAGTGGTGAGTGGGATGATACCACTCTCAGAATAGACTCTTACGAGCTACATAACCATGGCCAGAGCCTTCAGCTTCCTCATCCAAATACTACGAATAAGAATACCCACTTAATAATACTGATATAAGGGATAGAATGAGATGCTATGTGTAAGGGGGAGGAGGAAGGGAAAAAGAGAAAGAGGGAAGAGGTAAGAAGGCAGAGGGAGCACTCTAGTAAGCTTTGTAACCTACAAAGTCCATTCCTTCCAATCGTCCTTCTCACCACTCCCACGCAAACCCAGTTCCAGCCTAACCATTCCACTCACACTTTCAAAATATCTTTCCTACCCCAACACCTAAAACTTTGCACGTCATTTCTACAAACCCAACCAAATACACAGATTGAGTCAACCAGGAGTGTGACTCCTCAACTCTCCACACATTCAAATCATACTCACCCTTCAAGATGCAGGTCAAACTACCCCTCTGGTAAAGCCCTCCCTCGTCAAGACATGCCAGCATTTGCCATAGCTTCCCAGCCCCACCCAACAGAGTAGGTCTAGCGCAAAGCCTGAGAATCTGTATTTTAAACAAGTTTCTCAGGTGTTTCTAATGGTTGGTGAAGGATAGTGTTACCTTCGTGGCTTCTTCATGAAATCATACCTTGTCCCTTACCCCACACACTTGAAATCAGAGGCCAGTCACTGCTCAAATTCCCTCTACATCTCCAAGGTCTGAGTTCTTATTAGGTAGTCAACACATGCTCAGCTCTGTCCATAACTATTTAAAACTACCTTCTACCAAGGAGCCTTTCCTGATGGACTCCTCTCCACTTTTATACCCAGAGTTCACTGAAGGATCAGCTGCCCACTTGTACTGTTTGCTTCCCACGGCTTGAGGCTCTGGACATATTTCTATCACATATGGACTTCCCAGAGAGCAGGGACCATGATTCTTTCTCCTGCTCGACCCCATGTTCAGGTCAAGAGTTACCTTTTCCCCCACATGGGAACTCAGGGCTGACATAACAACTTGACTCATCAACCTGTTCTCTGACCCTAGCCTAGAGGAAAAGAGAAAAAATTCAGGGGACAAACTTAGGTACTCTTCCCCCAAATTGATCTCTCATAAGTCTTTAACAGATCTCCCCAGGTGGCTACCCACGGCCAAGTGGGCTCTGATACATCAGAGAAGGGAGCTATGGAGAACTCGAATGTCTCAGGAGTCCTTGCTTTGCATCTCCCCAGGTAGCACCAACACTAGTAGATTGGCTGCTCCAGCTCTGGGATCTCTCTCGTCTTAAGTTGGGCCTACCTGTCTTTAGAGACCTACGATAGAGACAGCAAGGCTGGGGGCACACAAAGTGAGAAAGACTTATTTTCCATGTTCCAGGGTTTCAAAGCCTGATTTGCTAGCAAGAGCCACAGGGTGGGTGTCATTTGTCTCGACTTCTAGTGCTGGTTTCAATTCTAAGAATGTTCTCTTAAGCAAGTCATTTAACTCATCTATGAAATGAAAATAAGAAAATCCACCCAATCTACCACCAGCAGTGAACTCACTTTTCTCCCCCAATATTTATGGGTCTCTCACATGATAGGTATTTTGGCAGTCTCTCGGTGGGGAAGAAATCCAAAACGAATAAAATGTAGGCCAGGGTCACAAACTACTGTGAGAGAACAGATAAACGATTCTAATACACTGTGATTCGACTTTAATGTTCCAAAGAACTATGAAAGCCCAAAAGAAGACTGGAAGTCCTTTCTACAGTCACCAAGAGCCAGGGACTTAAGAAACATAGATACTTTATAGATTAGTGTCATATTACATTAAGTGCAGAGGAAACCAAGGGTGAGATCCAGCGATAATTCTAGCCACATAGGCTTTCTGACACTAAATCCAAGAAGTGAAGAAGGAATCGAAGACACTATCCACCCCCTTATTCCTTGGGGGCACTCCAGGAATCCACAGGAACAATCAGCAAATCCTTCAACCAATAACAATAATAAAAATAATAGAGCATGGACTCAAAAACACCATTTCATCCCTCCAGGTTCAAAAACGGCCGACACTAAGGCTCCATAAGAAACCTCCGCGTCCGCCCACGGGATCCGTCAGCCGGAAAACCCCATCCCCGCAGGCCTCCCGGGAGGTTCCGTGGACTTGGCGCTCCCTACGCCCCGTCGAGTCCCAGACAGAGAGAAGGGCCTCCAAACAGAGACACGTCAACTCCACGCCTGCCACCGCCCCTAAGCACTGAGAGCTCCGAGTCTACCCCGACGCCCCAGGTTCCCAGCCTCTCACTTCCTCACCTGGTCCAGCTCCCCATCCACTTTCCGGTTCCTTTCCCCCGCCCACGGACGCGGAGGACAGTGGGAGTTGTAGTCTACTTTGTTTAGGGAAGGAGATTGGTGTAGCCGCGGCCACTACCGCAGGAAATTCTCAAATCTCGGGAAGGCGTGCTAAATTAGCTCTAAGCGATGCTGGGAGTTGTAGTTTATCCTTTAGTTCAGGGCTAAATCAAGAAGACTTGAGAAGTGAGGGCCAGGCTCTGTAAGAACCTCGGAGATCCTGGATTCTAGCCCTAAAAGGCAACACTCTTCCAAAAATTCATCCACAATGCTTTTCACAAAGAGATTGCAAGTCAAGGAGCTTCGACCATCCCCAATCTCTCAACTCACCTGAGAGTATTAACAATAGCTAAAGATCATTTCTAGCCCCCCTTGCATCCACAGGTATAAGAGACCTCCCCTTTGCAGGTATAAGAGACCTCCCCTTTGCAGCCCTTCCGGGATGGCATATAGAGAACATCCACAGAGACATTTCTGGTATCTCCTAATTCTTAATAATGGCTTTGAGACTTTTCCATCTGCCATTACTATCCACGCCCCTGTCTCCATGGCTTTACCATTTGACTTTTCTACCTCTTCTGCCCTGTTATTTGCCAAGCTCTATAATCTCTCATCCCTCCCAATCCTCTCCCTCAGGTACTAGGTCCAGGACACCTTCCCTGACCAATGTCAATCTCATGGCTGCACCTAACAGTCCATTCCCTCCCATCTCCCCAACCCAATACCAATGTCCAAAGCTGTCCCCCTCCTAGTTTTGTTCTTGTCCTCTGTCTCCTATCCCACCCCACCCCTCTGCTACCTGCTTGCCAAGCACTCCCAGTTTATCATCATGGCCAGCCCCTCCACACTTCAAGTCTGCTTCCAGGCAGACAGGAATGAGTGAAATGAGTGACAGATAAGTGGAGATCCTTCAGGACACCTCCTACGCCCCTATTTCAACTTCCCAGAAAAGTTAGATAACTGTTTCTGTCCCTGTAAGCCCATTCACCCCAGGGATCCCACAGATAGGGAGTCCAGACATAGGAAGAAATTGAGTCTTGGGAAACCCACAGTGAGTCCCTTTAGCTGACCCCAGAGGGGCCTGGGGACCTTCTCTGTCTCTAGTCCATGCTATTCCTCCCCACCTGATGAATCCCTCTGGGGGAAGATGGAGATGAGGAGCTCTACATCTCTGTGGAGTGCTTAGAAACAGACACCCAACAACTTTCAACAGATAGAGCCTGAGAGAGGAAACTCGAGCTCTGGTGTCTCTTTCCCAACATGCTTTGTCCATGTCTTAGTCTCCTGGATTTCTAGGAAATCTCCAAGGGACCAGCTGACTGATTTATAGATAGAGCCTTGTAGGGCAGGAGCAGAAGCAGACCCAGGCTGTGGCCTGGACAGAACCTAGAGAGTTAGGTCACTCCCTAAGGGCCAGTCTTGGGATAGGACCTTCTGCCACCTACCAGCCTGATCCAGGGGCCCGAGCCCAGGCTGTAAGGGGTTAACCTGCTGGCTTGTTTTCCTTTGGTTTCTGTGGGCTACCTGGGCTGTGTTGTGCCATGAGCGCCATCTATCGGCCTCTAGAGGTCATAGCTCTGACTCTGGGCTCACTTAGGCTTCTAGGCTGTCTTTCAGCCCTTCCCCTGCCTCCATGCTCCCAAAGTAGGAAAGGGAGTTGTCTAGCTTCTCCAATGCAAAAATAGGTAAGGTGAAGGTCATGCTTCCCTCTTCCCAAATACCAGGTGTCCTCTTGTCAGCTCCCACCACCTCTGGCCTGGAGAACCCCAAAGGTTTTTTATGTTTGACTTTCAATGTAGCCATCCTCCCCAGCTCCACTACACTGGGCAGTTTCCCTCTCTCAGTCAGCCCAATAAACATTAAAAGAACATTGGAGAGGAGAGGGGACCTAGCAGAGGCTTTTAGAGTGTGGGCTCTGGACTCAGACTGCCTGGGTTTGAATCCCAGCTCTGCCACTTACTACTGGTGGCCTTGGGCAAGTTACTTAACTTCTCTGTGCTTCAGTTAACACAGTTATAAAATGGGATAATCATTGTAATCCATGTCTTCTTTTGTGATAATTAAATGAATGAATTACATAAGGTGCTTAGTATTGTGTCTAGCACAGAACTGGCACTCCATAAAGGTTAGTTTTTGTTGTTATGACCATGTGCCAGGGTCTCAGACAGATACTAGTCTGAAGACCCAAGATGCAGGCCATAGAGCCATGTCAGACTCATGGGCACAGAGAACAGAACTGGGCAACTCATTCGTAATAATTTTCACAAAGACAGTTACCCATAAGGGCTAGGGTTGGGGGCTGGAAGTTCAGAACTGCAAGGAAAGTACTTTTCAGGTCTCCAAGATCAGCAGGAGATGGGATGAGGGGGTCAGAGAAATAAAGAACTTGAGGTAAAGATGTAGGAAGGAAGGATGTTAAAAATGAGGCATTAGTAGGCCTGTAGAAGGACCCAAATTTAGGGAAGTGGAGAAAGGTCCCCAAGTGTGGGGTGAGCAAGGGCCACTGCATTCAAAGATATGTCCTCCTTGGTAGAGGCACAGTCTCAAGCTTTGATCAGACTCCTCAAGCTTCCCAAGATATATTGTATCACAGCCCCATTGCAGCTCCGTGGGGACTTAATCCTTAATGTCTTTCCCTTAGCTTGGTGGGGAGGGGACTCACAAATGGAGAAAGCTATCTGCAGATCCCACAGGTCCCACTCCCACCTCCCTCCTAGATCCAGAGAACCAGGGGAGCCAGGCTGTGAATTCATCCATTTGTTTATTAACAGGTTCAGCCACCTTCTCATCTCTGTGTCTTCTGTATCTCTGCCGTCATCTACTCTACTGGGAAATGGATACACAGGATTCTTCTCCAAAGGGTGAGAGTGAGGGGTAGAATGACACTCTCTCAGTTAAGAAAAAAATGCAGAGCCAGTTGAGTCCCTCAACAAGCCTCACCATCCCACCACCCCCACCCCAGCCCCAAGGCAACACAGACTAGCTTTATGGATTGATAGCCACTTAACTGAAGGCAGGTGACAGCTTCCAAGTCTCCCCAACTCAGGTGTTCTCCCTTTCCTGGGGCTTGGACACCTGGATCCCAAGGAGAGGAGCAGGGAAAGGCTGGATGGGCTGATTTGCATCACTTACTTGGGAAGCAATTATTGGAGGAGCTGTCAGCTCAGCACAGCTCTCTCCTTGATAATCGGATTTCACCAGAGCCTGGGGCTTGGGGGGGCTGAGTAATTTGGCTTGATGCAGTGGTGGGAGATGTCGGGCCAGGAGGCCAGCCAATCTGTCTGAGCGGTGTTAGAGTTGTCCAGAGCAATTATCCTGAGGGGACCACACAAACATCAGACAGACAGACAGCCAAGGGGACTGGACTGGTCCCCAAGTCCTACAGCAGGAAGATGGAAGTTACACATTTGGCAGAGTAGGAGGAGTATCTCCCACAAGTTGAGCCCAATTAAGCAATTGAGGAGTCAAGATGAGTCTGGGAGGGGGGCCAAGTAGCCAAGTGGGAAGAGGACCCAAGAACTTCAGCTTCCAGCTGACCCAGCAATAGAGCAGGGACTTGACCAAGGATGAATCTTCCCCGCCCTGCTTCTCCCCTACAGTCCTACTCCCAGACCACACTTGCCCTGCCCCTGTCTCTGGCACTGTCACTTGCCTTCACTTGTGCCTGCAGCCCTCTCGAACCTGTCCCCTCCTTCCCACCCACGCTGCCCCACTCCACCTCCTTTCAAGTTTTGTGGTGGACTGCTGACCCCTCTCCCTGCCTCTATCTTCCATTCCACATCTTTCAGAAGAAGGATGATACAATAGCTAACCTTTCCTGACTTTTCCTTCTACACCAGACAACACCCTAAGTATGGGAAGTGGGTACTCTCGTCTAATTCTCACGCTTACACTGAGGGACCCACTCTTGTACTCCATTTACTGATGACGACACTGCTGTTGACTGAACTTCCTGAAACAGGAACACATCTGATCTTTGCATTCCAAGTTACCAGCGCAGCCCTGGCATACGGTTAGTGCACAGTAAATGTATGATTTACTGTGAATAATTTACCCTATTCTCTACTTCCAGCTGACCTTCAGGTAACATCCACATCCCTGGCTTGGCCTCCTAACCCTCTCACATCCTCAGCCCCCTTACTGTCTCAGCTTATCCTCCCTCATACCTTTCCACACACTCTATGCTACAACACGTTGGAAAACTCCACTTCTTCATCCTCTCCTGCCTTTGCACCGTAGCCCATCTTGTCTACCTTGACTGGAACATCTTCCCTCCCCATCTCTGCCACTGAATACATTCTACCCACTCCCCAAGGCCCACATCAAATGCCAGATGTGGCATTCCCCTCAGAAACATTCCCTGATCCTCCTTTTGCTTGTGCCTCCTTGGTAACTCTTGTCCTCAACTGTTAAGTGTTTCACTAATTGCTAAAATGCCTTATGGCCCCTGCTAGACTGTGTGTTTGGGGAGGTCAGCACTCAAAAGTCAGTCTTCTCTCTCCTGACCACAGACCCACTGCCTTATACCTATTAGGTGCTCAATAAATACCTGCTGACAACATGAATATCTGCTCTCTATTTTTGTTTATCTCTTTCAGAGATTCTTTGATGGTGAGTCGAAAGGAGCACTGACCTTTCAAAGGAACTTGGAGTTGGGATGGTCCTGAGCCTGGGAGGGTGAAGCTAGGGGTCTAGCACTTACCAGTGGCATGACCTCAGGGAGATCATTACCTCTCTAAACCTTTGGCTGACCGTTTTGCTCTCTACCTGGAGGAGAGAAGAACAATGCCTACTTCATAGGACGTGGGATGTATTCTCTTCTTATCTGCTCGGGGTCTGTATCTGAAGCTGTGGGGATCTGTCCGTCTCTCTCCATCTTCTGCCTCACTGCTGAGCCTCTCTAACTCCCATCAATTCAGGCACAGAGCCCAGCGGTCCTACCACCCTGCTCCC